TGTCCAGAAAAGACAAGACAGTAACTTACCTTCTCCTTTGCCAGCTGGTGGAACTTTCACGATGTTGTAAGTTTTCTTTGGATCCTGCACATTCGTGGCGTAGTAATACATTGTTCCATCTCTGTCCATGTGCGGGTGAGCCGTGCCAATGTGAACTGCAATTGACTTTCTGAGATCCACCTGTCAAAATAAAATAAATGTAGATGTTTCACATCTTCATTGACACACGACACACTTTACATCATTTAGGAGGCAGGCTGCTTCCGCCTGCTTGTCAAGGCCAACTCAGGACCCCAGGTGTACGTTGCTCATGTAGACAGATGAAGGTACTAGATAAAAAACCTCCCCACTCGGGAATCGAACTCATGTCTTCTATGTATTGTGGGGAGGCACCTAACCGCTACACAAGAAGCGCTAGTAGAGTCACATGTGATGAGACGGAAAATTAACACAACTTAGAAATGGATGAGAAGTGCCGACCGAGAAGTGAGTTGTAACAAGAACTAGCGGACTTAAGGGCGAGAAGGGGGCTTCTTTTCTTTCTGTTTTTTGCTCTTTTATTGAAAGGGCAAGGGTTGTGAGATAGTTTGATTCCCAAGCGGGGAGGCTAAATGATCTAAATTGTTATGGGCAAAGAGATGTCAATAATCCAACAGTCAAAAGCCGCCAAAAATCATTCAAAAACTCTTTGGTGTCAGATGCTTATGATCTAGAAACTATTGGCACTTGTAGAATCTGAGGAGGACAATAAAACAGTGCTTGCGGGCCTGGAGAATACCGGCCTCTAGTGGATGAGTTGGTAACTTCAGTGGGCGGTGGGCATCCTCGGGTAGTGGAGGGTATTATTTGTTTATTGCCCTGCTTGTTACAGGTAAGCGAGAATGGAGTCGGTGGCCTAGTGGTTAGGCAACCGGACTCGTAATAGTGAGATTGCAGTTGCGGAGGTTCGAGCGTCAGCTCTGTCCGACATTGTGTCCTTGTGAAAGGTACTGTACACGAATGTCCAATTCTGGCTTGGTCCTTTCGAAGATAAATGTTAAATTCTGAGGTCCCGTCTTTTAAATAATCTAATAGTGTTGACACGGGCGTTTAACTTACACTATTTTACACTATTTTACACATTTTCACAGGAGAGTGGGCTGTACAAATCTTTTAGCCTCCTTAACACGTTTAATCCACACGTCGCCCTCCAACCATATGCAGTGCCTAAGGGTTGTCATCGTATCGTTTTTGTTTACACACATTATGTATTCCTTGCCTGGTGAAACAAAGTGTACTCTTCGGGTCAGGTGGGTGCATTTTATTTGCAGTATATTATTCTATAACGTTTCGCCTTCATTGCATTCTCTGAAACTTTTAAGAAGACTTTAATTAGTATTTTCTTACCTTGCCGATTGAATGCATGGTCTCCCCGTCCACT